ATATTCTATACCATGGGGTGTATCAACTAATTTTTCCATTTCTTTACTTACAACATTTATAATACTTAATTTTTCATTGTGGAAATTATTATTACCAGCTCCTTCTTCTGCAGCAATAAAACATAATCTTTTTAACAATTCGTTTAAATTATCAATGTATTAATATTGAATTGGGTTTTCTATATAATTTGTTAAACCAGATCCTCCATGCAAAGTTTGTAATTTTTTATTTTCATTAATTTTATTTCAAATAGGACGGATAAGATTCATGTATTTATCCCCTTTACTTGATTTTACTTTATTTTGTTATTTTTATTATAATTTTGATATAATGATTTTGTTTCTATTAATATCTTTTCATAATTCATTTTAATATCATCATCGGAATATGATGTTTTATCTATATATTTATTATATGTTAATAATCTCCATAATCCTTGTGTTCCTTTATAAGTTTGTTAGTTCAAAATAATATCGTTATCTTTAATATGAATCTCATTTTTACCTATCATATGCATATTTGTTTCATGATCATTATAAAATCCCAAATTTATCATCTGATAATTTTGATAAATAATGAGCTGCAATAACTCCTATTTTGTTATTAATAATTTAATTTTTAATTTCTGTTTCGAAGTCTCTATCTCGTATCATTTTTCGTTGTTTGGTAATAAAATCTGATGTTTGTGTTAACGGTTTCACAGGAACTAAAAGTGATTTAATATCATCATCGGTTTTACTAACAGTTTCTTCAACATTTTTTAGTCCCTTGATAATAAGTTCAAATGCTTTTTGTTTTTCTATTTCATCATTTAGTTTTTTCTCCGCTTCATTTCTATATATTTTTTATAATTTTTTTTTTTTTTAAGGCAATTTTTTTCAAGATTAANCATTTCTATATATTTTTCGCAATTTTTTTTCAAGATTAATTGTTTCATTAATCTCTGCTTCTGTTGGTTATTTTTTTTCTTCAAAATGCACTGTTTTTTGTATTTTATTAGATTTTTTTAAGTTTAATCCACTTTTAATTTTTTTCTTAAAATTGTTTTGAATTTGTTCAAGTGTTCTCATTTATTGTAGAAAAATACATTATTTTTCAATAAATTTTCATTAACTGATTTTTGTTATTCAATATTTAATGATTAAAGATTTACAATTAATATTCAAAGATTAAAGATTAATGATTGACGTTCAACGATTAACGATTTATGTTCAATAATTAACAATTAACGTTCAATTTTTAATGTTCGCATAAAAATTGATCTAATTTATTATAAAGATGATTATTTGTTATAACCATTGATAAGAATCCAAATGGTTTTTTCCAACATTTCTTACAAAGTAAATTAAATAAACTTAATTTATTATCACTTATAAAATCTTCCCATATTTTTTTTAATAGAATGATTCGGCTGTTTAAAAATAATCACAAAATTTAAATTGTTTCTTATAATTTTTAAATCCACAGCAGTATAACTTTGTGTTAAATAAATACTAGAAATATTTTTATGTCGACCTCTTATAAAATATTGTTTCATTTTTGATTGTTTTTCTAAAACACAATCATCAAACATAACTAAACTATTCGGTTTACATTCATCAACAGAAACTAATCCTTTATCAGAAATAACTGTTTTGATTTCATCTATATCATTAAATACTTCTACTAATTTCTCATAAATCGGTTGATCAATGGTTTTTGTAAAAATATAAAGATTTTCAAAAAGAATCCAAAAATTTGATTAAAATTAAGATTAAAATCTTTAAAATTATAATTTGTAGTTTAAAGTATTTACCACTAGACTAGAACACTAGGATATTAAACTACAATGAAGTTAATTAATTTAAGTTATATAAATTTTATATTATTTCGATATAATAATAGATTTTATAAATAATATATATTTAGGAAGGGTAAATTTTTTAAATGCTCTAACTTATTCAATAATAATCAGAAAAATATAAAAAAAAAAGACTAATGTTATTTTTGAACTTATTTATACTACATACTAAAAATCGATTTTTGGGTAGTCCAATTTTAGGAATTTTTGAGTTTGAATCTCTCAGCGAGAAATCATCGTATCTCAATTCTGTTTTTGCCTTCTCCTACTAAACCTTAAACGATCTTTTAAAATATGTGATCAAATTTTGTCTAAAGTGATTATTAAGGGATTTTGAATTCTACTGGATCGATTGACTTCAAATTGTGTATATACCTTTAAAATATAATCTTTGTTAACATATAGAAATTTGGTAAAATTTTAAAAGATAGAAATAAATATATTACATAAAGATTGCACTAGGAACAGATCTCTTTTACAAACATAAATAATATAATACATTATACATCGCGCGTGAAATAGATAAGCGTTGCATACAAATCAATAATGATAAATTATGTCAAATCGTACATAACCAATATTATTTTTTGTGTTATTAAAATATCATACATTTACCAATAACATTGCAATTCCTGATATGAGTTTTTCGGTTTTATAATATGATGTTTTATTTTCATAAAAAAAGCCACCCATGTATTCACTCGGGAAGCCACGCCTGTATTCACTAGGGAAGCCAACCCTGTACTCAATCCGGAAACCCCCCCTGTACTCACTCGGGGAGCCGCTCCTGATCTCACCCAGAAGGCCACCCCTGTACTT